TCATTTTTAATCAACCGTGATGCCCTCCAAATGTGATATGTGGGCTCCCCCTCCCCAGCCGGACAAATTTTTGTTTCGAGCGTCAAACATTCAGGATATTTAGCCCTTAATTAGCCCCACCAAAATTAGAATTCGCCCTCGAACGGTTTGCGAGACATGGCCATCGGCGATTTTGGGGATTTTCAGTAAAATCTACAAAAAGGCATATAACAAAAATTTTACACAAGTGCATAAAAATGAAAACTAATGATGCAAAGTTTTAGCCCCTGATTTGCCCTTCCCATTTCTATCTTGGGGCAAATTTTTTTGTCACAAAAAATGTCCCAAAATCGATTTGGGATAAATTGGCGATATGGGGCCATATACGAATAGGCTGTTTTATGAAACTGTATAATTTTATGGAAATTTTTCTACAGAAATTTAGCCCTCAATTTTCCCTTTCCATTTCTATCTTGGAGCAAATTTTTTTTTTCACAAAAAATGTCCCAAAATCGATTTGGAGTCAATAGTAGGCTATTTTCACTGATTATGAGGGGATAAAAATGCATCAAATGCAAAGCCTAAAGTTCAAAGTGAACGTGAAAGCGATATTGTAAGTGATAATTCAGATCGTGGACTTGGAAATAAAAATCAGTCATGCACTGTGTATAAAACGACAGGTAAATTGCATTTTTTTCTGTTAAACGCTTGTCTGTGATCGGATTAATGAAATCACACTTCTATGCATATATCAAATTGCTATGAATTTATTTGTCTCACGATAGAAATGGAAATCGAGGGCTAAATCGTAGTGCGTTCTGTTTTCAGTTTTGATACTAAAATAAAAAATCCCCTCATAATCAGTGAAAATAGCCTACTATTGACTCCAAATCGATTTTGGGACATTTTTTGTGACAAAAAAATTTGCCCCAAGATAGAAATGGAAAGGGCAAATCAGGGGCTAAAACTTTGCATCATTAGTTTTCATTTTTATGCAATTGTGTAAAATTTTTGGTATATGCCTTTTTGTGGATTTTACTGAAAATCCCCAAAATCGCCGATGGCCATGTCTCGCAAACCGTTCGAGGGCAAATTCTAATTTTGGTAGGGCAAATTAGGGCGAATTAACGGTTAAATATCCTGAAAGTTTGACGCTCGAAACAAAAATTTGTCCGGCTGGGGAGGGGGAGCCTGATATATGGTTTATTTTTCTTTTTGCAATTGTTCATCTTTTTTTTTCGAACAACTTAGAAACATCGGCGAGTAAATGGCTTGCAATCTGGTCTTCTTTATCGTTGTTATGCATAATCTTCGATCAAATTGTCATACCAAATTGACAAGGTTTCAATAGCTTTTGGGGCCTAAGACGATAACGAGAGAGAGAGAGAGAGAGAGAGAGAGAGAGAGAGTTTGCTGTGCATTGAAAATGCAATAAATTATATTAGTTTGTTGGAGAGCGATAAATGGGTAAAATCGATTTTAACAATCGCAGAAATTACACATTTGCAAGCTGTCAAAAGCTGCGATGTGTATGAGCGTTTTCGAATGAATGTTTGAATGGCTCAGAACACCATTTGATGCGGAACATCATCAACGAAACGATTTCAATGATTATTATCTCATTTACAATAATGGATTTCACTCGGTTTTCTCGCTCTCGAAAGAGATGTGCACGAATTTGTGTGAGCTCACACTTTTCAAAATGCCTGAGATGTGCATCAAACATCTCTCGCTCGCTGCTGCACAGATTTGCATCTGTGTCACACCGAAACAAAAAATATGTACAGCACCTCGTTGCTTTAGCTTTTTCCCCGTTGCGATCACCTTCTTTTCCATCTTCTTGTTTAGTGCGATAATCTAGCGTAAAACGAATGGCATGTTTGTAATTTTATTAGTTGTTTTTTTTTGTGTGTAGCTTCTGTAATGAAAACAGCCTTGTTGCCAGAAGTGAATTAAAATGACATGTAAATAAAATCGAATATGAACAAGTCATAATAAAATCATACTCATTACGTTCTTCTCATCGGTTTGTACATTTGAATTCATGCACGGTGCGCACACATGCGCTCACTCACTAAGATCGCATACTTTTATGTGCATCTCATATATCGCGTTGCCATACTTTCAGTGCAAAATAAACCATGTTGTGTGTGAGCCGACTACTGAAAATTTTGCGATTCCGATGACACTAATCTCAAGATTATTACTGAAATGGGTGTCTCGGCTGATTCATATTCACGCTTCCCTTCACCAACCAACGACAGAAAAAAGACACAATTTACCAACCGATATTTACCTTTCCAATGCAATGCAATAATTTCGGTGACAAACTGGAAAATACAATGCGTACTTTATGCGTGCCAATGGATGCCCCTCAACTCAACGCTATGACAAATGTGAAATAATATGCATTGAAAGAAACGCCAAAGCAAAAAAAATTATTCTCGCACTCTTTGACAGGTAAAGGTTTTACTTTCTAGCAAATCCGCCTGAAGAGACGATTTTTGTGCGGTTTTACATGCCACCAAATTTGTTACTCAGAATTCATAGATAAAACAGAAACAACGAAAAGAAAAACACAAAAAACTGCAACAATTTTTCTCGTGTGTCACTACAGTTTATACGGTTTTTGCATCTCTTTGGATCTGGTTTTTTCCCCTCTCGTTGTTTTGTTTTGCTTCACAACAAAATTCTTGTATTTTCACGATTTTTCTTGAGTGCAACCAAAAATGTTGCTTGTATGCCGGTATCGAATTTTCAAATTACATGAACACATTTTCTACTCAATATTTGGAGAAGAAGATGATTGCTACACATCGATTTCGTTTCGAATTTCGAATGCACCACGATCTCGCGCGGTGTAGTCTGGCTGCGACCAATATCACAAAACAACAATAACACTGGAACCAGAGCATTTCGCGCACAACGAGACTCATTTGGGTTAGGTATAGCAGTAGTGAGAGCAGCAGTCGCATCAACGGCGGCCGCGACAGCATTCTCCGTCTCTCGCACCCATTCCGTTCCGATGGGTACAACATCGATCGATCCGGTGCAAAACGAGGGAAAACAGAGCGAGAGAGGGATAGAAAGAGCAATAACATTATGTTATTGGTTGGCATCGTTGTCTGAACATGATCTATACACAAATTTTAGAACGTTAATATTTATATTCAAGATAATCAAAGGGCTGGCACCAAATTACCTAACTGAGAAAATAATTTTTAAGCATGAAACTACAAACAGAACACTAAGAAACGCAAATGAAATTTGTCTAACAGATGCAATTAAGGCTTGTAGCCAAAACTCATTATTTTATAAGGGAATAAAATTATTCAACACGCTTCCGATAGAATTAAAAAACCAAGAAAATTTAAATCACTTCCAAACAATGTTGAAAACATACGTCAAAGAAATCTTTTAATGCTGTTTAATGGAGAAATCTAAATAAAAATAAAACGAATTACATACGTAATCCAAACTTTTCCGCTCCGCAGCAATTTATTTTACCTCTCGCTTAATGTTTAACCAAAATTTCAATGGACCCTTTTTTCATAGCATTTTTGACCTTAAAATATAACTACTATTTCGACCATTTTCCATACAAAAGTGTCATTTTCGAACAAAATTTCAAAAATTTCAAGAAATGTTGATTTCGGACCAAATTTATGGGCAAGAAGGTGTTCGGTTGTTTGAAGGCTCCCATTATTTTTGCAAAAAAATTATCAGTTTGCTTTGACCAAAACCCTAAAAAATGGCTTTCTATGTGATTTTTTATACAAAAGTCTATTTTTCGAGGAAAACTTCAAGAAATGTTGATTTTGGACCAAATTTATGGGCAAGTAGGTGTTCGGTTGTTCAAAGACTCCCATTATTTTTGCTAAAAAATGGCATTTTGCCTTGATCGAAACCTTGAAAAATGCTTTTTTCGGGTACTTCCCGTACAAAAGTGTCATTTTTCAAGATTTTTCAGGTCCTCAGTCGGAGGCTTATGGTACGAAATTGGTAAATCAGAATGGGCTCAAAATCAATCCGAAGCTTTGTCTCGACATGCCAAAACTTTTGGCTCTTACAGATCTCAATTATCTTGTCAACTTTTTGAGATAATCGGCGAACAAAAAACGCGAACGCGAACGCGGACGACGCCATACGCACATCACAATTTTGCACATTTTTCATAGTAAACAACATGTTTTTGAAGGCAGATAGGTCTTGATCGATAGGATTTGTTCCCATCTACATTGCCTAGTGTACAGATATGTGATTTTTGAAGTTTGGCGTGACGTTATAGTGGTCCGAAAGAGGAGATGTCATGAAATTTTGGCTAGTAAAACCAATACTTTTCCATACAAACAAAGTTTGCGGAAAAGTAAAATAAATATTATTATTATTACAATCGTTAAACGATGACACGACCTGCAGTGTTTGTGTGTATGTGTGTGTGTGCGATTTGGTGCTTAACTAAAAACGACAATAAACCACCACAAAAGGCGCAATGAGCCGAACTAAGCATAGGCAGAAAACGGGAAAAAAGTAGAAGAAGACGTTGAGAGCGTAAATGTAATGAAATCGAGAGACAAACAAATAAAACAAAGCAAATATGATACAGGGGGAAAATACAAAGCTAAACAACGACGACGACGGCGGTGGCGGTGGAGGCAACGCGCGCGGGTAAAGCAAGCGACCGATCTGAGAAATACGCCACAAGAAAGAGCCCGACGAAATGAGGTGGCCCATGATGAGTATACGGCCGTAAGCAGGATAGAAAATCATAAGAAGGCTTACACGCTCTAGCCTTTTACATGTATCCATCCCAATGTGTTGTTGAATGTGTGTACTGGGTACAGTAATAATAAAAACAATAACAACAACAACAGCAACAACATCACATCACACCGCCACAATCGTAGCAACTTAGCAGCTGTACTTCTTCTTCTCGCATTTTTCATGGATATCCGATTTTCCTTTCTGCTATAAAAGACCGCATCTTTCCATCGATCAGCATCATTGCAATTTGTGTGCTCGTACATAAATACCATAACACATTTCGCTCGTAATTATCACTACGCTTTATTAAAAGCCCAAATCCGAGTCCAAATCTAGTTACAGCCATTCAAACATTAAAGGTGCAACCGATTTCGACTATCATACATATTACACGTCCATTAGCATCAGTTGATAAGTTTCGTTTTTTCGTTTCGTTGTTGGTGAAATTTAAATATCGAAGTGATTGAAACCTTTGTTGGCGGCAACAAAGTTCAAAGTTGGAATTTATCAGCAACAACCACCGAAGCAATCGAATTCCATTGTGATATCGCTGGAGACTCTCCTCATCCGAAAAAAGTGTCATATTTTTCAATAAGTTTCAAACATTTTTCTTTTAAACATGAAAGTGGTGAGTTTTTTTTCCATTAAACATTTGTTTCGTTATTTTTTTATTCATTGGCAAGTTAACAGTTCGTCGATAGAAATTCATTGGGTGATTTAGAACGGTATAACAATTGACTATCAATTTCAAGGCATCAAAATATAAATCTAGTACTCTGTTTTGCTCGTCCTTCGTCGATTTTCATATGATTCAAAAGAAACAAAAAGTCATTTCGAAATTTCTATCAGGTATTTTCAAGATCTGATCAAAATTCGTGTCTGGACACAATTCTTTCAAAGGACACCTTCTATTATTTTAATATATATACAGTATTCCGACTCTAATCCAGACATTAAAAATACATTCTATTTGTTCAAAACATCTTATTATAATGCGCATAAACGATCAGCTGAACTCAATTGAAAAGAAGAAGAAGAAAAAAAAACACTGAAAAGTTGCACTGTTTCAATTGAAGGTTTGTAATGGGTCTGGGAGTGCGAGTGCGCGGCGTGCGCTTTAGTATAAATTGCGATATTCAAGAGATTCGATTGAATTGAAAATGCCATTTTTCGACTTTAATTCGCTTGGCATGAATAATGAAAAGCGTGAGCATTTTTAACAACGTCAAAGTCGTTGTTTCATTTGACTTGTTGATCTAGTTTGTTGTCGATGCCATCGCGCGAGCGCACGCGCGTGCAATGCATTTACACACTTACGTGATCTGTTCCATTTTTTTCCTTCACTTCTGCAATACCAGAATCATAGAATAAATGTCGTGAGAACAGAAAATTTACAATAAAAATTGGTAATACATGAAAAAAAAACACACACACACATACACAATATATATTTTCCTTAAGAATATAATGAAAATCAGAAGGGAAGAAAAAAGGAAATCAACAATCGTCTAGAGGAATAGAAGAAATGAGGTTGTTAGAGTACGAAAATGTACAATTGTACATACATACACACGATTGATGAACGGCAATTCAGTTTATTGACAATTAGACAATAAAACTAATGATATCGCGTTCGTTTAGTGCGCACGATAGAGATGGTTTTGGGCCTTTGGAAATGGCCAATATATAACGACGATGCATTTTGTTGCGCCATTAAATGCGGTGCATATATGCACACAGATGTTTTCAACCGTAATGAGAACGGCCTATATTTCTTCGACACAAAGCCGAATCCATTCCTATGTATATGTTTGGCACAAACGCCAAACTCCGAACTGGTAATTTACATTAATGCTTCAATTATGGAACAATTATAGCAACTCAATTGACTGCTCTGCAAATGAAAAAAATGTCTTACGCATTGCTTTTGTCTTCTTCGGTCATCAGGTGATAAACGTGTTGTGCACGGCATCGACATAGAAACATGAAGATTCAATCGTTAGAGAAATCGCAACAACAAAATTAGCATCCAAAATTTATTGCTTATCGATTATGATGAATGAAAATGCACACAAAAAATGATAAAAATATCAAAATATGATTCGTCGCATTCGGTGGTGGTGATGTGCATCGAACGAAACTTCAACCGTGTGATTCAGTCGTGATTCTAAAACGGAAGGGAATTGAAAGAAAAATCATTCGCGAAAACAAGTGAATTTATGAATTAATGTGATCAATAGCGGATCGCTATATAAATTATTTGGCATATTCTTTTAATGACTAACTTCTTATGCACGGAACATCATCATTTGCATCGTGCAGTACACAGCGAAAAGTTGAGTGAATAAGCCAGTATTGATTCATCAATAGACATAGATTGGATGCAGCGACATTGTTTTGATGTTCTGTGTGTTGTTGGTATAGATCGTGCTTTTCTTCTGCTTTGTTGTGAACCAATGTACCGCCGTCTAGCGTTGGGCACTGCTCTCAGTACAAATTTCATCATGGAACGTGACTCCGTACACTAATAGAGAGTCGTTTGTTGTGTGTTTTTCTTTTCATATAAAAAAAACCTGTAATGTACTGTGTATGTGCGCTTTTATGTACCGTTTCCTTTGTTCTTCTTCGATACCTTTTTTCTGCTCGCATTTGGCCTGCAATGTTTTTTTTCCTTTCCTCGCCGTCGTCGTCGTTGTTTTTGCTGTCTTTGTTTTTATGTTCGGAAATTTTCAATTTTCATTCAATTCCATATTCAGCACACTGCAACGACATTGAACGAGGCATTTTACTGTATGATTTGATGATCGCTTTGCAAATGCAAATGCAAACACATGTGAATGATACAGAAACAATGAAATATTCAGCGACCGTCAAGTATCGCGTTGTTCTGTGTGTTGCGCAGAGACCAATCATCGTGAAAATCTCTTCTTTTTGTCGACACAGAGATGCATTAGCCGACAACAAGAAAACAAAAAATAGAACCGTCCGAATGCTGAAACAATGAGGGAGAAAGAGACAGAGAGAAAAACATATTGAAAATTCGGAACAACAAATTCTAAAATATGCGCCCGAGATAGGAAAAGTGTAGAAAAATTGCGATCGACACAACAAAACAAACATGAATATTCAGTAATAAAGATGCAAAGACCTACCTATCGACAGTTTGAACGCAGCAAAATCAGTATGCCCATGTTTTGTATCTGGCTTTCCGCTGTTGCTGAATCGAATCGAGATCGTTAGACTTTGATGTTTTAGAATTTATAGTGATTTTGCGATAAGGATTATTGTCATCTTCATGAAATGTTTCATTCTTATCGTGGTTTGTATCCGCACACGTGTTTTACCACGTAAACATTAAATGCTTTTAATCATCGAATACCCAATAAATATGCCAGATAAATTCGATAATGTTAGTGAAAAATTATGTCCATAGATAAAACACACAGTGTGCAGTGGCATAGGGGGAATTCGTGTAACAAAGTGTCAAATGGCAATGTCTGGGAGAAAATGCTGTAATAAGTGCATACAACAGTTTAGGCTATGCTCAGTGGGTCGTAATTGGGTTTCATATACTCTCGATGGATTGGTTCCATGATTGTTCATCTATTTTTGTCTTCACGTTCGCATAAGTTCCAAACTAACAGCATATATTTTTTTTCTTCGTCGTGCTCTACGCGGTACGGTTGAACTATTTTTCAGATTATCTTTGCAACAATTGTAGCCGTGTGTAACTGTGCAAAGTTAGACAACACATATTTGCCACCACCCGATGCACAGAACTCAGGCGGAAACGGTTTAGCGCCGCCAAATCAAAGTAATGGAAATGGTAACAATGGATTCAATGGTAACAACGGTAACGGTAATGGATTCGGTCAACAAAATCCACAGCAAGGCTTTGGTGGTAATCAGCCACAAGAATCACAACAGCCACCAATCGCTATTCTATCCTATGAAAATGAACCAAACTACGGTGACGGTAGCTACAAATACTCTTATGAAACGGGTGCGTACAGCAGGAAAAAAAATGATAAAATGCCAACCGCTCTGTTCTGCTGGTTTGCGGAGTATGTGTGGTTTTGTCTGGCTGAAGTGAATGTGTTTTATTAACTATTTATCGTTCGCGTATAGAAAACGGTATCAAAGCCGAGGAGCAGGGCGAAGTGAAGAACAAAGGCACTGATAATGAAATCCAATCGGTTCGCGGTTCGTACAGTTACACTGGACCAGACGGTGTCTTGTATACTGTAACATATATAGCCGACGAAAATGGTTTGTCGTACATTTTATCGTTGCACATTTGATACAGATTTTGATGCGTGTCTTTGTTTTTATTTTCAGGTTTCCAACCACAAGTAAGCCAATTGCACCAAACCGATTAAACCGGCCTTTATAAGAGAAACTACGCAGATTTTTACGTTTTTGTTTATTTGTTTGAAATTCTTTTTTCAGGGTGCACACATCCCAACTCCATCACCAGCTATTCAACAAGCTATCGCTGAACAACAGGCTGCTGTAAGTCACTTGAGTTATAGCTATTTTTATCAATTTGAAGCTAATTCATCTTTTCATCAATCAATGATTAGGCTGCTGCAAATGGACAAAACGGCAACGGCAATGGAAACAATGGCAATGGAAACGGTAACGGCAATGGAAACAATGGCAACGGATTCCAACCTCAAAATGATTTCGGTGAGTTAAAGTTGCTTCGATTGCCCTCAACACAAAATTCGAATTGGCGACTGAATGAATAATATGTAATCAAACGAATTTTCCTTTTCAGCTTCAAATGGTAACAATGGCAATGGCAACGGCAATGGATACAACTACCAACAACCTCAAAATGATTTCCAGCCAAGCAACGGCAACGGGAACGGCAACAACGGGTTCAACGGCTACCCAAGCAATCGGCCACAAAATGACTTCCAACCAGCTCCATCGTACAACAACCCAAATAATCAATACATACCACCACAGGCCGATGCACCTCAACCACAACCTCAACGACCCAATAACGCATACATTCCACCAGCCCAAAATCAAAATCGCCCAAATGGCAATGGAAACGGCAATTTCAACCCACAAAACGGATATAGATACTAGGGCGGTCTAAGATCTAGCTCAATCTCAATCCCAACAACATCAACAATAACAAACAATATCAATCAAGTACTAAACACGGTCGATAAAATAGGAACAAAACAAAATATGACGACGCAAACTACTCCTTCAGGCTATTCTACGATCCTCCCCTACTCCGATTTCGTTACCATAAACTAAGTTTTACCCTTTCAGATGGCTTCTTCATTACTTTTTTTTCGTCTTTCATCCCTATCATAATTAAGCGATTATTGCCAGTAAATTTATGTTTTAGCTATAAAAAAATAAGCAAATTCAAGTGAAGCGACAAAGAAAAAAACCAATTGTTCGAGCAAAAAGAAAAGTACACCGATAAAATTCATTCAAATTCATTCAAATTATTTCGCCGGCGGACGGTTTGATGATAGAGAGAATTGAATGGGATTACAAGGTTCCATTTTATTTTTTATTGAGTGATCATTGAAATAGGAATATGGACATTTTGTTTGTACATATATTCAATCCGAATTCACAATCCACCAACATATCAATACAAATTGTCAGCAGAACCTATTCAAACAAACATATCATTTTTATTTTAAAAAAGTGTAATTATGTTATTGACTAATCATCATAATTGAACAAAAAATAACATACATACGGAGCTTTGCTATCATGAAGAAAGAAAAAAAATAAACATTTGTATTTAATTCAAGTATAGTATGTTGAATAAACGAATCGAAAATTTACAACAACAAAAAAACACACACACCCATTATTTCTCTTAATCCATTTACCCGTAAAAAGCCAAGGAATCAGTGAATCGAAGAGAAAAGTACGTTAATGCATTTGGTCAATACAATAAATGCAATCGCATTCAATTGTGAATGCACAATAGGGTGGTGCGATTTTGATTTTGCAGAGGATTTCAAAACGTCGGGTGTGGAATCGATTCAGCACCTAAAAAGAAGTAACTTTTGTTCTGGGACATATGCCGAAAAGTATTTAAAAGTTATTCCCACTTTCCGCTACAATTTTAAAAAAATTGCATTTTTTGCTCATTTTCATGGAAAACTTGTTGAAATATCGCAAGAAATAGCCACTTTAATGTCACTTTGGCCAGCATATTTGGATTCATCGTGAAAAATTACCTAACAAAAAGTTGGTTTAGAAATACTTTTCCACGATTTTGAGGTC